TGTTAGGAATCCAGTCTGTGTGGGTTGTGTTTTTGTGTTTTTTCCAGGGCGCCACCAGGTGGCGCCCTTTTCTTGTTGGTCCTCCTACACACCTGTGGCTGGTTGGCTTATTATTATTGAGGACTTCTTAAACGGTGGACTGCCACTACTTCGAGGCTAGTGTTTGCCAGTTTTGTGAAGTCATCCTGCATACTGGAGGTTTGGCCTGCTCCCCCTGGAAAGATCTTTTGTGCTTCACACTGAGCAGGGGATTCATCACCACACGTTCCATTCAAGTTCTCCAGGAAATCTAAGCTACAGTCCGTCCATTGCTCATCAGGAACCAACCAAACAAAGGACATGTCCGCCCTCCAACGAGCCCCTCAATCTCTGGAAAAACCCACACTGACTGGATTCAGGGAAGAAACCTTTCTACGCAATCGTGAGTCCCGCTTATCTCTGAGTTTGCAAGTCGTCGTTCAAAGTTCCCACGGACCCTAAACTAACCTCTGTGAAATTTCATTCTCACTTCCAGTTCCGGTTCACCAGCTCTCAGAGTTTCCCCGAATCCAACCCTTTGAACTCCTCAATAAACCTGTTAAACTTTTCTCTGGTTTCTCTGAGTGGCTTCTGTATGTGTGTCAGATCTCTTAGAACATCATGACAGAACACTCCCCATTTTGCTATCAGCACCAGTCTAGATCTTTTCTGACACTTTATTTCTGAGACTCTCCTCCTTATTTCCACATTCCCTCATATTGCGCTGTCTTTGCCACTAGGCCATGATGCTGTGCAGAACAGCACAGGCTGTGCGCTACTCGTAAGCTGATGATTGAAAGGGCAATATCATTGTCATTACTGTTAAGATCTAATAGAAATTTACACATTCAGTGATAAAATGGTATGGGGGGAAGGTCATTTAAGAGGCTGGACGATTTTCAAGATTTTTTTAAGAGGGGGGATGCCATCCCCCTCATCCCCCCTCATCCCCCCTCAACTCGAGCACTGGTCATGCTGAGAAAAGTAGACCGTGTGTTGCAACAAAATGAAAAGAGAACACAACGAACTGGAGTAATTATGAGCGCTCAAAATAAAATAAAAACATTTCATGATAAAATATGCCACTTAAGTGTTAAGGATCCAGTATGTGTGGCCTGTTTGTGTGTCTCCGTTTTCCACCACCAGGAGGTGCCCTGTCTTCGCTATCCCATGCTTTTACACCTGCAGCTCATTTGATCATTATCTGGAGGAGTATTTGAGCAGGGGACCTTCACTACCTCGACGCCAGAGTGTTTGCCAGTTTTGGGTACTCTAGCCAAGCTGTTTAGTTGAGTCTAACCTAGCTTTGTTTCTCAGAGTCTAACAAGTTTTTTGTCTTTGCTCCCCGGCAGGAAGCTTTCCTGTGTTACTGGATTCCTGGACCTTCTCTCCCCTGGAAGGAAAAACCGAGTTACAATGAGCAGCGGAAAACCTCCACGTTCCGTTCAAGTACCCATCGGAAATCCGAGTTACAGTCCGCTAACGCTTGTCAACCTTTCCGCCCTCCAATGCAAAAGGCAGCTGTCAACCAGCTCCACAGGCGGCCCCGTCCAGGAAACACACAGCCAGGCAGACGAGCTCCGAGCCAGCTCCCATGTAAGAGGATGAAGAGAGCACATCCAGTTAGTCACAGTCAGAGAAACAGGACTACACTGGAAAACAGGCCAAGCTCCAACATCTAGAAACAAAGGTGTTGATGGCAGCAGCACAGCTGATATTTCTCTCCAGGATGGAGTCACAGCCAAACAGGAACTTTAGATCAGAAAGGAAGACTGGATATAGGTCTATAATTGACCAAGTCATCTGAGTCAAGAGACGGTTTCTTAAGCAAAGGTTTAATTCCAGCAACCTTAAAAGCCTTTGGTACATATCCCTGTAACAGAGATAGATTAATCACATCTAAAATCGAGGAGGAGATCAAAGGGAATACCTCCTTAAATAACCTGGTTGGAACTGGATCTAACATCCAAGTTTAGGGCTTAGATGAAGACAATAGTTTTGCTAACTCTGAAAGTTCAACTGGATCAAAGCAGTCTAAACCCGGTTCAGATTCTATAAGTACATCAGATGTTGCCCCACCCTCCAGAGACAAACCAATCACGGATAGAGGAGTGCTTATGATCTTATTTTAAATAAGATCAATCTTATTTATAAAGATGGGGATGTTTCGTGATGTAATATCCTGTGTTTTGTTTGTGAATATTTGCTGTGTCCTGGAGTGATATTAAGGGATTAAATATCATCCAGAGTGGGGGAAGTGTTACCGGCTTGAGCATTCCCCTTTAAGGAGGTGGTCTGATGGGTAGTGTATGACGTAATCCACACGTAGCCGTATGGTATTTTTGTGAATAATGTTACGAAAAGAGAAGGAAGCGTGTTACCCTGTTGCTGGTGAAGTGTGTTTGAGATAACGCCGGGTACAGCCATTGAAGATACTGTGTTGTACGAAAGGAAGAAAAGTGGCAAATAAAGCCCCGGTCCGTGTATTCAACTACGACGCCTCTCCTCCTCTGTGTGAGTGCGCAATAAACTCGGGCTGCTAGTTACCACCATCAACAAGCCAAGCCAAGGTGACCCGAGCCTTAGCTTTATAACCTGCATACCACACTTAGGATCTATAAAGCTTTGGAGGTAACACAGTGCCAAGCTCGGACAGGTAATCTGTGATAGCGGGCATTTGCCCGGTGGGCCGGCCCTCGCACGCTGAAATTAGGACCTTAAATCATAGCGGCCCCAACGCTCACTCTCCGGCCGAAGCTCCTACCTGTGACAGTATATAACTGAAGGATCCCAAGACGTTATCCATTGTTTACTACCTAAATGATGCATGCAGTATATATAGCCCCTCCTTGTCATGCACATCTTTGTGATGGTTGGCATATGGTGTCGTTTTCTATTTCTTCAAACTGTAAAATCCTTGCAACAAACTAAATTATAATATAACTTAAATGCTTTCTTTAAACCAAACTGTGATGTTCCTCTTATATTTTGCGAAACTATGTTAGAATATTTTGCAAAAATATGTCGCGGTGCATGATGTGGTTTTGTACTGGGAAAGAGCCAGTCAGTAGTGTGAGACAGAGGAGCCTGTCCACTAGATGGCGCCATGGAGCAACATTTCCACCCACTGCCCCTGATTCAATCTGACGGGTTGTCACTATTTTATTTCACAATCATCAAATTCAGCTGGTAGATTATCTGCTTCATTAAAGACAAACAAATGAAAAAATAATTTAACATTAATGCAATTTCTAGAAAACATTCTAGCAGGAAACAAAGTAAAATGGATGAAAAGCGAATCTGAACCACAGTCTTAGGCAAACAGACCTGGATTGTGTGTTCTACATAAACAGGTGATATGAGGAATGTTGCGTAACTGATGATATCACAGCTCACCACCTCTGAAGTTTCTTTTCCCAGAACCAAAATCCAGTCAGTGAAACTTCTGCAGCGACAATAGAGGCAGTTTGATGAAGACTTTGTGAGGAAGGAGAGAAGTCCTGAAGAAAATGTTTTATGATGGCGCCATGAGGAGAAATAATCCCAGATAACAGGGCTGCTGGTTGTTTCCTGCTGCACTAACTGGTCTGACTGGTCAGACTGAGAAAAGTTCACCTTCTCATGGCTCCCAGTCTGAATACAAACACCCTGCTGCATTTTAAATGGCTTCATTGAGGTCCTGCTGATCCACGTTCCAGGATCTGCTTTGAGGGGGAAGTGGTTAGGGCATAGGGCTGGGAACCATGAGGTTAGGAGTTCAAGAACCCACTCCTACAGACTGCCACTCTGGGTCCCTGACCAAGACCTTTAACCCGACACTGCTCCACGGGTGCTGCAAAATGGCAGCCCACTGCTCCCCAAGGGGAGGGGTTAAATGCAGAGGTAAATTTCTCCAATGTGTGAACAATAAAGTTGAATTATATTTTTCTGGGGGGAGTGCAGAGGTCACGGATTAGCAGACTGCGGTCCGGATCCAGACCCGATCTGATTTAAAACATTTCTAAATGACTACATGTTGCCCGGAGACAGTGTATAACTTCACTTGTGCCGCTTCTCCTGTTAATACGGTAAATTTTTGCTAGCTTTAGGTGTTTTGACTGGATTAACATATCACGTGACCTGAATTGACCTGTGTCAAGGGGCACAGATTAACAGACTCATGTAATTGGGAGATAATACCCTAATTTTTTTTATTTTTCAAAATAAAACATCACTCAGACAAATTATTTTTTTTATTTTTTATTTTTTTTCTGTGCGGCCCGGTACCAAATGACCCACAGATCGGTACCGGTCCGCGGCCCGGTGGTTGGGGACCACTGCTTTAGGGAATATCCAGACCCAAAGTACAATCTGAACCAGGTTGACAGACCAGAGGATCAGAGAGCCGAGGAGGTACCGAGGGAGAATCTAAGCCGAGGTCAGTAGCACAGTTTAAGTTCAGTAAACCAGCAGAATCCAGGAATCAGTCCAAAAACAAAACTGAAAGAGCAGACAAAGGCAAGGCAAAAACTCGGATATCCTGAGGCAGAAAACAGTTCAGAATCATAGAACACTTACTTGATCACTAGAGTTACTTTCAAAAAAACTGCTCAAACAAATAATCTGGCGCCGATGGTAGGCAGACGAACAGTATAAATGGCTGATGGAACCAGGTGGAAACAATACTGTAAGCGTTAATGAGAAAGGTGAGCAGAAGTAAATGAAACTGCCAACCATCAGCGCCAAGACCATGACAAACAGATGTTTAAGAGATTCTCCAAGGTGACAAAATCAACTTGATATGCTTGCTGTGGTTACGCATTATAACAAATATCCAGAAAAGACAAAACTATAAGTGAAATTCCCTCCAGTTTCACAGCATTCATCAACAGAGGCGAAAAACATAAGAAAAAATTTGACTGATCACAAAATTGAGGAATTAAAATTCTCTTAAAAATTATATCAGAGGCAAGCTAGCAGAGCTACTCAAACATGCAATTATTTGAACTTGGCCTTTAACCTGGAAAGAGCTGTGAACATATGGTTAATCAAAACAAGATACAGACAGTGGAAGAAGACATGAAAACGTTAAATAAATCTTGAGTCTGCAGAAGTCTGACTTCTCTTTCCAACACTAAGCAGCCCCTCTTACATCTTACCCAGACATTGTGCAGGTGTTTAATGACCTGAGTGAATATCTTTACAAAGGGAGAACAAAAACATCAGCACTCATAATTAATATTAAAAGGGATGTAATAGGAAATAGATTTTTTTGTTATTGAGAAGTAAAGAAAGAAATAATCTCAGGTAGTTATATATTTTATGTAGTCGTGTGTAGTTATAACCCATGTATCATACAACTTGTTTTGAATGAAAGACATAGATATGTACAGACTGAACTATCATTTCAACAGAGAAGGGGTGTTTTTTTCTACCAAGAGGAGATTATTTTGATCCAACTCAGCAAAAAACAACCAGGAACCAAGATTGGACCCCAAAAATCCAAACCCAGGATACAGAGGTTCAGTGAATGTGGTGTTGAAGGTGTGGAGGTGAATCAGTGAGTCAGAGGAGACTCTGTAGAAGGACAGGATGCCAGCAGGACAGTCTACATAGACTGCCACTCTGTTAGAGGCAGAGGAGGGGGAAGGGATGGTTGTCCCCATGTTATTGTGCCAAACAGAATAACCACCATCATAGCATCTGATCCTCCAGGAATGCTGCTTTGCTCCAAACCAACAATCTCTACTGCAATCTTTCCTGTTGATTGTTCCATAACTCACTGATATATCTACTATTCCTTTCCACTCTACTTCCCAGTAATGCCGACCAGTCAGATCAGTTCTACACAGCAGCTGAGGCCAGTTATCAAATCTATCTGGATGATCAGGATAGGACTGAAGCTCCTCCACATGTGTCACCTTCCTGTTGCCTTGAGATAGTTTCAGGTTTCTGTTCACTGTGTTTGGGTCGATGTCGATCTGACAGGAATCTGAAGGAGAGAACAAAAACAATCCAGCTGCAGTTATTGAAGCTATGATGAAGAATCCTGAGTGGTTAATGGACAGTTTGAAGATGGTTTAATGTGAGCTGCTTTGTTGTCATGAATCCAATAAAAAACACACTTACACTTCTTCAGACCTGGTGTCAACCATCGTTCTCCAGCAGGCTCCACCCTGAAAGGAGGAGGATGTTAGACCATCAGTCTCTGTCAGTATGCAGATATGGGTATTTGTATCAATATTATATACTTGTAAAATATATTAATATTAATATGTTTATTAATATTGATATTAATATTTGTAAAACATAATCTTACTATATATGTCATGATCTGGCCTGTTTGCTCCTTAATTAGTCATTCCTTTCACCTGTCGTTTTTCCCTCCCTGCCTTAATTATAATTTATTCCTCTCACCTGTTTCCTCTGGTTTATATTCAGTTCAGCCTGAGCATTCAGGGCCAGATCATTACTTGTCTTTCTGTTAGTCTTTCTGTTCAGTTTTATTTGGTTCATGTCCTGGATCCTAGCTGCCAGTGGAAAGAGGGTTTTTGTGTTTGTCTCGTCTCCTGATCGTCCACTGTTCCTCCCCCGCGGAGTCCTCTGGGTTTTTGGCTCAATATGTGGGGAGGTTCAGTTTTTATCCAGTAAGCCTGGCTCCAGGGAGGAGACAGTTTAAAGTCCTGCTTCAAGTTCCGGTTCCTACGTCCTGTCTCGGCTACCCTCTTCCACTGATCCTGCCTGTCTGCACCTGATCCTGTCTGCTCCTGTGCGTGACCACCTGGTCATGCTTCTGGTCCCAGTCAGACTCTGAACCCTCCTGGGAGCCTGTGGATGCCTGGAAGTCTGGATCCTGCCACCTGTTTCTGTTCCTGTCTGATCTGGATCCTGCCTGTTTCTGTCTGTTCCTGTCTGTTCTGGATCCCTGACCAGGATCGGCTTCCAGCATAACCTCTGGGACTGCAGCACTGGGGACACTCGTGGTCTGGACTGTTAAACCAGGTAAGTGACCAACCCAGTTAATCTTCTATCAGTTGATCATGGTCACTACCTGTGTTTCCTCCCTAGAGTGTCTGAGATTGGGGCGGTGCCCCGCCCCCCCCGCCTGCAGTGTCCGCGAGCCACAGCTCCGCTTTTGTTTTGTTTTATTTAATAAACGTTTGAACTTTCCTAGTGACTGTCTCTCCTTGAATACTGGGTCCATCTGTCCGCCGTTCATGACAATATATTAGTATAAAACTTAGTTTTCATCACATTAATATTTATTTGCAAAATTTATAATTTGCATATATCTCTTCCTGTTTGAGTTCAGTTTAAATAGTTTTTAATCTGAATAAATATGTGTAATCTAACGTAAAGGTAATTTCAGAATTAGATTTGGTCTTTTAAGTGATATTATCTATATTGTGATATTATCTTGAACCGTTTTTCATGTTGTTAAAATGTGATCTAAGGCGTCTCCTATTCATGCTGACAGCAGCTGAACTGTGGTCTGATCCAAGATGGCCACCCTCTAGGCTTGTCGGCCAGCATCCAATGAGGCGTTTATGTATATCATGCCTACGCTTGCCTCAGTCTCGTGTTTCTTGATTGCGACTGGTCGAGACCATTGCTTATAGACTTTCTCCACACAGTACCTTACTTATGAAATTTAAAAAAGGACCTTCTCAAAAACGGTTAATAAAAAATTTTAATCATTGGTAGTGTAATGATCCCCAGCTGCAGCTGCCACCTGCCCGCAGTCAGTGTGACCCACACCCCCACGCATCTCGCTGAGTGTAGAGAAGTGCGAGAGGAAAGGAGGAAAGCATCTGTGTAACAAAATTAAAAGGCAAGATTAATGTTCAAAGATTTAAAAAAAAATCTCACTGAAATGTGTTTTTACACAGCTGATTTAACACTACAAGTGATTTACTTAAAGCCAAAGATACAAGAACTTTACTCAAGCTGTAGTCCACCACTCAAGTAATGAATCCTTTTTGTCATGTATAAATTCCCCATCATTCCACATCCAGAGCTAGGTTTCAGCTCAAGGTTCTCTGCTAATCATGTAATTTTTTTAAATAATTTTTGTAATTAAATATAACTACATAATTAGAATCATCAGATCTATGACCAGAATGATTTTAAACAAATGTGTCACCAACAGGGTGATCAGGTGATAACTGATCTGTACAACAAAAGTAGTTATAGTTCATTGATACAAGAGGGAAGGCTCCTATGTTTCAGCACCATTGATTTGTCTCTGCATATATTGTATGCATATATATACCACAGTGAAATTCCTTTCTAGTCTGATTTTCAAGCTCTTTGAAGTCAGCAGCATATAGCTCACGGTTGACCCGTTGAGTGTCTTCGATTTTGAAGTCAACCACGGAGAACGGGGAGCAACAGTTCCAGAACAGATGGCTGAAATTTGAGATCCTGAATCAGATAAACCATCAACTAGATGCAGCTAGTTGAACATTCAGTGATCAACCTGAAACCAACTTCACCGTGGTAGAGAATGCGCTTTCCTCTGCTAACACTGGAAAAAAGCACCAGGCCATTCAGTCTCATGCAAACAAAAGCAGTGTAAATGAAAGCTGCAATGACGTATTGAGAAATACTCAGTCTATTGTACACCACAAAAAAGTAAAATTGTCATGATCATGGTTCTGATGGCTGGCCTAATTGCTCATTTCATTCACCTGCTTAACTCTGCCTGGTTTTCAATTACTGCTCATCTGTTCCACCTGCTTCTGCTTCCATATATATATATATATATAAATATTCCATATATATGGATCAGTCCCAGCTATAGGGGCCAGATCATTGAGGCTTAGATCATTGCTGATGCCTAAGTTCATGTTCTTGGAGGCCAGTGGTTAACAGTGATGCGAGTAACGGCGTTGAAAGTAGGGTTAGGGTTACGTTGTTACCTTTTTTTAGTAATGAGTAATCTAACCAATTACTTTGACTGTAACTATAACCCAGTTGCCATTGCCGACACCCTGTTACTGCACGTTAATCAGGTCACACAATTAATCTTTTTTCATGATAGGACTCGTGCGCACCTTGTCATGAGAGAGGGGAGGATTAGATTGGCTGATGTATAGTGAGATTCCGTCTGTCAGTTGGGTAGGTGGGTGTTTCTGCTGGTGGGTGTTAACGTACAGCACACACAGAGAGATGGAGAGTGAGATGGAAATACTGGTGTTACGTCGAGCTGCGTTTCCCCATCAGATACGGTTTCCCCTGCATCTCCGCACAGCACAGGCAGCTAGATTCACAGCATGACCGACAGGAAACGCGCATGCTCGCTAAAAGCATGTAACAGCCACCTTGTGCTTGCGCCACAGGGGAACTACGGAGAGCGTGAACGATCATTAGCCTATATGGAGAAAGGGAGAAATATGGATGGATGATGGATGGATGATGGATGGATGGATGATGGATGGATGATGGATGGATGGATGATGGATGGATGATGGATGGATTGATGATAGATAGATGGATGGATGGATGATGGATGGATTGATGATAGATAGATGGATGGATGGATGATGGATGGATGGATGGATGGATGGATGGATGGATGGATGGATGGATGGATGATGGATGGATGATGGATGGATTGATGATAGATAGATGGATGGATGGATGATGGATGGATGGATGGATGGATGATAGATAGATGGATGGATGGATGATGGATGGATGGATGGATGGATGGATGATGGATGGATGGATGGATGGATGGATGGATGGATGGATGGATGATGGATGGATGGATGGATGATAGATAGATGGATGGATGGATGATGGATGGATTGATGATAGATAGATGGATGGATGGATGATGGATGATGGATGGATGGATGGATGATGGATGGATGGATGGATGGATGGATGGATGGATGGATGGATGGATGGATGGATGGATGGATGGATGATGGATGGATGGATGATGGATGGATGATGGATGGATGGATGGATGGATGGATGGATGGATGGATGGATG